TGTTAAAGTAATGGGAGAAACGTCTGCAGAATCCATCCTGGGGCCTTTATGTGTTCATTTAATGAAAAAACCTATTTGTATTCTCTTGAATTGTTGAACAGTTGAATTGCCTACCTCATGGCTTGCGAAGGCACCCATCACAAAAAAGCACCAAGGCAACATATTTGATCATGAGTACAAAAACAGATGATGATGTGCACCACAGACATGTTCTCCGTGCAGCATGTGCCATTGTGTTAAGTGTTACTTAATTTATGCACTGTTTTCCTCCACATGGAATACACAAACCTGGATTTAGCAGAGGACTGATGACAACTTTTTTCATCCAGTGTTCACATTTGCTTTCTTGATGTTTTGACACCATCATTGGGCAATTTTAGTCCTATCATGAAAATGGTTCGACTGATGACAACTTTTTTCATCCAGTGTTCACATTTGCTTTCTTGATGTTTGGCACCATCATTGGGCAATTTTAGTCCTATCATGAAAATGGTTCACATTCCGAGCTGACTGCAATGATCGATATTTGTTGATCCTTTGCATTATGCAGGGATTTTTAAGTTACCATTCTCACACAAATTAAACTGACAAGCAACCAACATCCTAATTGGAGAAGCGTCTGCAAAAACAATCCTGAGGCCTTTAGGTATTCACTTAAGGAAAGAAACTTGGAGGCATTCTCTGCAAGAATTTCGAGAGCAATCCAAAAGTTAAAGTGAGAGCAAGTCAAAGCTATATAAAATGACCATCTTATCTCCATATGCTTTTTGGGAGCATGGAGCCTGCCCCAGATGTAAAATAATCTACCTCAAGACGGAAAGATAACACCAAACACTGCTGACGCCTGCTGTCTGCATAGATCAAGCGCCTAGCAAGGTTAAATTACGTGAGCATTTCTGTGCTGTTAGCCACTTGAGGCCCTCAATAATTAGAGTGCTTTTAGCAGCATGGTGTCAACTTCACCTTCTTTCCCTGTTTCTTTTTCATCTTGGACTTGGATCGTCTTGAGCAATAACTAAAAACCCATGGAAAGGCGACAGCACCAAACAAAACTGAAATAGCCTTGAACAGAACTGCATGCGCCAGGTTTTTTGTTTTGTTTAGGCAGCTGACGACCGATAATTCGAACGAAATCCCTTCCTGAACGGATGATCCTCTCACGGGAAAGGATTTCCGCAGGCGCACGATTCGAATAAGCGGAACGGCGCGTGAGTGTATACGTGGGCCGGATAGTTCGGATCAAGGACGGGTCCCGGTTCCATTCGAATCACAGCTGCCCATGTGATCATGGTGAGTGATAAGTGCTGGACAGCAGGGGAGAAACGCATCGTCACCTCCTTTCTAAGCCGACAACGAGCGACTGCTGGCTGTGGGGCCGGCTCACCATCACCTGGAACCACATCTCGGTTACAGAACCGTGAGCAGCCTGGCTGTGGGACGGATGAGTCACGCCATCCTCGGCGTTCTCGTCGTCCGGTGAGGGGGTCACCCGCGCGGGCCCTGGTGCCAGCGGCGAGGGTGCGGTCCGCGGTGACCGCGATCAGGTCAGCGCCGTCTGTGAGCCCGCTGCGCGCCGGGCTCCCAGCCATGCCACGGGGCGCCGGGGCCTTGCTGAACATGCGAGAAAATGTCTATTGGAGATCCGCATAGGGGGCAGGGAGGGATCTGATGACGTAGAGGGCACAGCGGCGCCTCGCCTCACACAGCGGGGAGGTGCTTTCACATGGCAGCGGTGACGGCATGTCTCGTCTGACGGTGTAAGCGTCACGTGACGACATGTCTCGTCTGACGGTATAAGCGTCACGTGACGGCGTGTCCCGTCTGACGGTGTGAGCGTCACGTGACGGCATGTCCCGTCTGACGGTGTGAACATCACGTGACGACATGTCTCGTCCGACGGTGTAAGCGTCACGTGACGGCATGTCCCGTCTGACGGTGTGAACATCACGTGACGACATGTCTCGTCTGACGGTGTGAACATCACGTGACGGCATGTCTCGTCTGACGGTGTGAGCGTCACGTGACGACATGTCTCGTCTGACGGTGTAAGCGTCACGTGACGACATGTCCCGTCTGACGGTGTGAACATCACGTGGCGGCATGTCCCGTCTGACGGTGTGAGCGTCACGTGGCGCCATGTCCCGTCTGACGGTGTAAGCGTCACGTGACGACATGTCCCGTCTGACGGTGTGAGCGTCACGTGACAGCGTGTCCCGTCTGACGGTGTGAACATCACGTGACGACATGTCTCGTCTGACGGTGTAAGCGTCACGTGACGACATGTCCCGTCTGACGGTGTGAACATCACGTGACGGCATGTCTCGTCTGACGGTGTAAGCGTCACATGTCTCGTCTGACGGTGTAAGCGTCACGTGACGGCATGTCCCGTCTGACGGTGTAAGCGTCACGTGACGGCATGTCCCGTCTGACGGTGTGAACATCACGTGACGACATGTCTCGTCTGACGGTGTGAACATCACGTGACGGCATGTCTCGTCTGACGGTGTGAGCGTCACGTGACGACATGTCCCGTCTGACGGTGTGAGCGTCACGTGACAGCGTGTCCCGTCTGACGGTGTGAACATCACGTGACGACATGTCTCGTCTGACGGTGTAAGCGTCACGTGACGACATGTCCCGTCTGACGGTGTGAACATCACGTGACGGCATGTCTCGTCTGACGGTGTGAACATCACGTGACGACATGTCTCGTCTGACGGTGTAAGCGTCACGTGACGACATGTCCCGTCTGACGGTGTGAACATCACGTGACGACATGTCTCGTCTGACGGTGTAAGCGTCACGTGACGGCATGTCCCGTCTGACGGTGTAAGCGTCACGTGACGGCATGTCCCGTCTGACGGTGTGAACATCACGCGACGACATGTCTCGTCTGACGGTGTAAACGTCACGTGACGACATGTCCCGTCTGACGGTGTGAGCGTCACGTGACGGCATGTCCCGTCTGACGGTGTGAACATCACGTGACGACATGTCTCGCCTGGCGGTGTAAGCGTCACGTGACGACATGTCTCGTCTGACGGTGTAAGCGTCACGTGACGACATGTCCCGTCTGACGGTGTGAACATCACGTGACGGCATGTCTCGTCTGACGGTGTGAGCGTCACGTGGCGGCATGTCCCGTCTGACGGTGTAAGCGTCACGTGGCGCCATGTCCCGTCTGACGGTGTGAGCGTCACGTGACGACATGTCCCGTCTGACGGTGTGAGCGTCACGTGACGGCATGTTCCGTCTGACGGTGTGAACATCACGTGACGACATGTCTCGTCTGACGGTGTGAGCGTCACGTGACGGCATGTTCCGTCTGACGGTGTAAGCGTCACGTGACGACATGTCCCGTCTGACGGTGTGAACATCACGTGACGACATGTCCCGTCTGACGGTGTAAGCGTCACGTGACGGCATGTCTCGGCCGTTCAGTGTTGTCTGGCGGTGTGACCTCCTCTGGGGACACGGCATTGTCTGGCGGAGCGACCTCCCCCGGCGGTGCAGCGTTGTCTGGCGGTGTGGCCCCCTGTGGGGTCGCGCCGTTGTCCGGCGGAACGACCTACCTCGGCGGTGCAGGGTTGTCTAGCGGTATGGCCTCCTCTGAGGACGTGCCGTTGTCTGTCAGGACACCTGGTGATGCTCGCCCAGGCCACCCGACCTTGGATGGACATTGGTCAGGCAACACGATGCTGACAGTTTTATCATATCCATGGAGGACTATTTTGATAAAATCAGTAACACGACTAGCGGTGTTTGACGCTGTTTATATGTGTTTTCTCTGAAAATTTCCGAAATCAATACGGTGTGCTGTTTTTACGTTCTGATAATAAAACAAGGTAGCCATGCACACTTTTCAGTTCCAGAGGTGTAAACCGGTCTAGCATAAAATCGGTGCGACTCGCTCGCGGCGTGCCGTTCACACTCGCTGTGTTGTGGTATAGTAAAGCGTCAGCATATCTGCGGCGCTCTCGGCGATGCACCAAATCCATACATTGGCTCTAATCAGATTATCTCCTTCTGTTCCCTGTAGACTAGGCTGCATTGTGTCTGAATAAGCTGTGGTAATCACGCTTGCGCGGGACATTCATCCATAACGAACAAGGGCTAGACTGCGAGCCAACGCGCAGCCACGCTCACAACTTTTCAAAGGGGTTGGGAAGAGAACAGGAGCGGTCCAGAAGAACGTGGAATTGGTATGCATGAAAGTCACGCCGCACTTCTGACCGTTTGCATTAAAAATGGGTTATAAACATTTAGCATAAAGATTAAGCCGCTCCCCACAGTCATTAGTAAACTGCTGTACGAAACGATATGGTGTTAAGTAGTTTACATCGGAGAACCGAAAACTGCACAACTGGATCGTGGTTTCCACGCGCACACTCAAAAAGAAAGAGCTCATATCGCGATTGCTAGCGCCGTACCTCGCAGACGCCAAATAGGTTGTCGCGATCTGATCGATAAAATGCTCGATGTACGAGATTCGTAAGTCGACCCGGCGGTACTGCAATCGCTCATCTCATGCGAATCGAGGCACAATCGATGACAGCCATGATTTTCGGTCATCGTTTTTGGCACTGTCTCATCGCACACATATGTTTGGCGGACACCAACAGAGCGTGAGCCATGATGAATCGCGCTGGGTGCTGTGGGCAGGGGGCGGGCCTACCATTCTCCCTTACGTCCCCCGCCTCGCAGGCCCGCTTCGAGGCGCGCGCCCGGCTCCTCTCTCCCAGCCGGCGCGCAACGGGCCGCTCCCGCTCTCTCCCTCTCTCTCTCTCTCTTTCGGCCGTCCGGCGCGACCGCCGCCGTCCCTGTGTGGCTGCTCACCCGGCCCTGCCCTTCCCCCACGTCGGGTGTAAATGGCCCTCCAGTGGGGGACGCGCAGCATCCGGGACCTTGTGACCACGTGACCGCCGCGGGCTTGGCGCGGACGCGGCGGTGAGCGCGGCCGTCTCCCGTCCGTCCAGTCCCCACCGCTATCGCCCCTATGTGTGTGTGTGCGCGCGTGGTGTGCAGAGTGGCAGAAGTGCGCATGCGCAGCGACACCACGCCGGAGATGAGCCGTTGACAGGTAAGGTGATAGTCTGCGTGTGCGTCTGCGCGTCTATGCCGCCCCGCTCGCCGGGTCACATCCGCTGCCCGCCTGGCACCGTTCCCGGTCGCGCCGTCAGCCGAGTTTCGTCTGTCGACCAGCTGCGCTGCGCATGCGCAGTGCAGCCTGTTGACATGTGCGGCCTCGTTTCCTGTCGGTATCGGTGGCGGCGCCGGTCGCGGGCGCGCTCGTGTCTGACCGGCTGAGGCCCGGCCGCCGCCGACCGCGGTCGTCCGGTTGCCATGAGCCGCAGCCACGCGGCCTCACGCTCTGCAATCAGCTGATCGGCGCCAGCGTGACGTCACCACGCCTCGGATCAAAACAGCCGGCCGGCGGCGTGGGGGCGGCCGAGCGTCTCCCGCGAAGCGCGCGTCGCGCGGGCGGCTGGCGGCCGACGACAGCTCAAATTCAGGGGATGCTCAGCCAGGTTGGGTGCATCGGCCTGGTCTTGAATATGCTTGTAGGGATGTAGGCGAGCCACTAACGGATTGAAGGGGAGGTAGACTGAAGACATGTACATGGAGCGTAGATTCGCAAAACAAGTTGGGTGGCTTCGCAGAATAAGAACCAGACCTGTTCCAAAATGCGTCAAGAGCTGGTCACTCCTCGTATTTGGCCCACGATCTTTTCCAAGCTGGGGGGAAAGTGATCCTTCCTAAACAAAAACGAAGCTTCTCCGCCCGCTGTACGCCTTCCACCCGTCTAACGCAGTACATATATACAGGCATGGACTGCGGGGTGGTAGCGCGATCTTCAAAAATGGCGTTTGTGTGAAACGTACTGTAGAAAGACCATTGGCCACTGACCAACCTTTTGGTAACACTGGAGATAATAGTGCTGTGGTGAGGATGGGGGCAGGGAAGGCACCAGTGCCTTCTATTCGTTGCCAGATTCCTGGTGCGCGCGCGCGCCAGATTTCATGCGCGCGGTTGGCCAGCTGAATGCGATGGATGCTTTCAGTGGAATGGTCTCGATGAGATTTCGCAATAACATTGGATTGGTCTCGACGAAATTTCGCGGTTGGTAATAAGTGCCATGTTGCTAGCGCAATAGTTGATCTCGTCATGTCAGGTCAAAGGTCAGCTTTTCTGGAACATCGCACTATCGCAGCTCAACATGCCAATGTGTGCGACACCTTGTCAAATGACAGCATGAAGCTTACACGGAAGTGTTTCTTGCTTACTTCTGAGCACATTGACGCATAGTTTGGTGTGTTCTGAGCTGTACACTTCATACCCATTACGTAGAGTCCCGTTCACGTGAAGGTATGTTATATATATGTGTTTTCCCTGAAAAAACCGGTCTGCCGCACGCGATCGGCTGGTTCGTCGGTTGCGCCCGCGCCGGCCGTGGACCACCGTTTAGTGTTCCTGGAAAGAACCGCCGCTTGCCGGAAACCAGAGAGGCTAGAGACGCGTTTTTGATGTGATAGCGTGCGCAGTGAATGCTCCGTAAGTTGCCGAGGGCTTGGACGCGATTACATGACGTGCCGGGGAGATGTTCTCAGAAAGCCTTAGGGGTTGGGGCCACATTACCCCCCCCCCCCCCCCCCTATGAGGGTGAGGATGGATAAATCAGTGTTTCGAAGCCGTTTAAGTGGCTCACTTGCATTTGGTGCCCCTTGGAAATGAATGCTGCGGCGCCCCAAAATGAAGGCTTTGGTACCCCTTCGCCGAATGAGCCGATCCTGGATTTCGTCAAGTGGGAGGCAAGGGCATTGCAGTGCCCTGGAGCTTTGTGTCTCTCGGTAATGAAGGTTTTGGGTTCTTTGTGGTCCCTTAAAATTTGGTGATTTAAAAAAAGTATGGTGCTCCAAAATGAAGGCTCCGGTGCCCCTTAACTATGAGATTTTGGTGTACCAAAGGGACACTACACCGTTGTGTGATTCAGGAGGGGCCTTTGGCCTCATGTCCCCTCCCCCCCCCCTCTGGATTTGCCCTTGCCAGGGCCCGATATTGGGAGGGACCCCCAGTAAATTTGACAAGCATGCAAAACTGATGTTGTCTGCGGGATCTTACGCACTGTTTTGCGCACAGAGGTAACTGATACCTCCGATGAATAAGGCAGTTGCATGAAGAGAGCGGTTATTACAATATAACAAAAATGGCATGGCAGACACGGTTCCAGCGATTTAAATGGGTCGTTTCCGACTTGCGTTAACTGCATTACAGATCACCACTGTATTCTTAAAGAGAATACTCCCAGGTGTTTAGACACAAGTCTGCACTTTAACAGCGCTTGTCTGCACTTTAACCGATATTTACAGAAACAGTTGGTGTACATGTTAACAAGAATGTGTTCAAGCTTTGCGAAAAAAATGCAGAGTGACACGGCCTCAAACGTTTGCCAGCACTTCGATACTATGAGTGAAAACTGTAGAAAAAACCCATGCACACTTGAAGCTGGTGAAATGGACTTGTTTTGTTTTGTGCAAAGACGCCTCCGAGGGTTTTAATAATGGGGCTTATATTGTCTGGAACACGAAGGCCTCAAATGGTTCGCTGCAGTTCATCCCTCAATTATGTGTGGCAAACTGCGTCTAAAAGGCTTGCTACTTCAGAGGCGAGTCCAGGAACGACGCATGGGAGAGGGGAAGGGGGGGGGGGACTGCAGGACGCAGTTGCCGTGGGCACCACCAACACGTGCTTTACCATGGAATGTCCATATGTGCTATGTAAGGACCATAACTCATTTGCAGCGCATAGCAGCATCGTGGCCGACACTGGTCTTTTCTTTCTAGTACTCACCGCCCTCCTTTCACCCCCTCAATAAGTACCCTGGCTCCGCCCATGTAAACTATTAACTTATATTCGTTTTTTTAAGGAAAGCAACGCGGTATCTCATCTGCTTTGATAACACTCGATAAAAACCGTGTTCTATTTATTTCCGCCAGTATCCCGTTTCGCACCTCCCACACGTGCTCATGAATTTCAGAATATCGCCGTAATATGTCGCTCTAGGATGTGTCAGTCGCCATAATACATCAATCTGGAAATAGTAACCATCGATCAGGCATATGCTGCGTCGAAATCGGTGTAAAACGTGACAATCGTGTATGGTCAAAGTTGCCTTCAAATTTGTTGGTTTTGCCTTGCTGTTGACATGAACTACCGACAGTTTCTTTTTGAGAAATGCAGATTGTCGGGAGAATTCAAGCGCCGTGTGATATTCAGAACAGCCCAATAGTTCCCGAGATCTGGGGAGGGGGGACCCGTCCCATCTCCCGGAATGGGGTTAACCATCCGGAAAAGGGTTATTCGGCGCTTAGAAGACAAGACATACATATCCCGTAGGAGGCCCCGTATGGCTAAAATCGGGCACTGTGGATGGACGGTAAGTCCCGAATGATCCAAAGCAAAACGCATCAGATGCAGGGGAGGCCCTTAAACACACAGGAAGACCCATCAACCCAAAAGGAGGCCCCAACGGGGTTAGAGGAGGTTTTGATAATAATGCGCATCGCGTAGCTAAACGATTATGTTGAAGAAAACTGCTCAAAATGCAAGGAAGGGGTGGATTGGGTTTGGGATAGGAGGATCCTGCTCCGCTCAAGATGTCACAGATCTGCTTCCCTGTATCAGAAATCGTCTGTGGTGCCGTACCTGGCATGGTGCCAACATTTACTCTCTAGTGGATGAAGATGTGCGGGCGGAGGGGGAGGGGAAGGGGGACGAGTTGAGAGAAGTCGCGATGGTTATGGTGCAAAAGGTGTATTTGGGTCAAGACGATGTTCTCAAAGGCAAAATTTGACTGGTTGAGTCACCTTTTCATCTTCTGTGAATGAAGTGAGAGCTGATATCTTCGGTCATCCAGTCCATACTAATGTCCCGCTCACTCTTCGGAATCCCAAAAGACGCGTTCTGGACTCACTGATGTCACCGGCGGATGGATTAGGGAATGAGCCAGATGTGCCATAGATATTTAATTCATATCTCAGTAGCACACATGAACATTATGTGTTTGTTGACGTTTTTGCACGGGGTCACGTGTAGGCCGTGCCGCTTGTAGCTTCAGCGGCCCGCTCTTGAAACTCCTCGTGTGGTGTAAGTGCAGGCCAGCACTGAGCTAAGAGGGCGAGGCTGGTGTTTGTTTCGTCGTTATTTGGCGCATATTTGGTTTGAGTCTTGAATGCTTCGAATCGATTTTGTGGTTTCGAGATTTACGACCGAAACAAAACCAACCAGTTCAAGAGATATTTTACTAAACTATTCTTCCATGCCAAGTTCCCATTTTGTAGGAGCAGGGCCGCCGAATTTCAACGTTTACACACTATCTAGACAACGAAAAGCACACACAAACACACATCCTATGTGCGCCGCGTTCGAACTAGCACTGACCAAGCTCTTCCGCAACAAAAACTCGAATGTTTTAGCGGCAACAATACTTCTCGCGGTGGCTTCGCGCTGGGTACAGGTCTTACAGGTCATGGTGCTTTCATAGTAGCAGCAAAAGACGCTCTTTATGAAAGAAAACGTAAAAGACTAGGAAGTTCGCAAATAAGTAAAATGCACACGAGCAGCATACATGTCGAAGCAAGACGCTTTGCTATCATGCAAGAGCGAAGTATGATGATCGATATGCAATTTAAAGATGAATGAGGCAAGCGGCATGATTACACTATCAGGCGGCCTACATAAGCACCAGCGGCGCTTCCAGCGCTGGGTGAGCCGCACAGTCGCTGTAACGCGTCAGCGGACTGGAGTCCGTCAGTCAGCGCCGTCTGCGGAGCGTGCAGGGCTGCAGCCCCGGCCAGACCTGGCGGACCTGACAGCTGCCATGCCCGCCCGCTCAGCCGCCGGTGGGTGCGCCAGCAAGCTGTCTGCGACGCTGCAAGAGGTAGTGAATGATGCGGCATCTCCATGGCCTCGTCGTCTTTGGCAGCTTGAAACCGGGCCGAGGATGTACACCCGGGCCGCTTTGTGATCTGGGCATGAAGCGGTCGGGTCTCTTCTCTCTGCTTCATCCGGAAGCTTGAGAAACGCAATGTTCCCTTTCCATTCGCAATTTGGGGCAAAATGGGGCAAAATGAAGATTTCGGCGTTGCTCCCATTGAGTTCGAAAGCTAGGAAGCAGTGAAGCATCTGTTTTAGCCCCTTCGACGTCTGGAAAATATGTACATACTTGAAGGCAACGCGAATCTTGGGAGCATTTTGACTATGGTTCAGAAAATGGCAAGATGCGGCCGGTAAGTTTTACTTAATTGAGAATTCCCGTACAACGCAGATTTCTGCCGAACTAAAAGCTAAAAAAAAAACGCGACTTCCAGAACCTTTGGTGCATCGGCTGAGGTTTTGCAGAACAAACCTTGAAGATGTTATTTAAAAGGAACCATTCAGAGCAATTACTTTTTCAACAGAGGACTCTGAGTGATGACAGGCTGTAAAGCATTTCGGTGTATGTAGTTTTTTAATGAGCCGTGATGTTTTTGATCAGTGCTACGTTTGGTGTTGGCCAAGCTGTGTGGCAGGTGGATAAAGCAGCATGGCATACATTCTGCAGCGAGTCGTGACGTCCTACCATGACTTTATTTCAGGTCTGGGTTTTTAGGCCGTTTTGCAGCTGAGGCCAGTCCAATGGAGTGGGCCCGCCGGCTCAAGATCAGGGAACTCGGCGCGGAGCTCACCTGCTACCTCTGCAACGGCTACTTCGTGGACGCCTTCACCGTGGTGGAGTGCCTCCACTCGTGTAAGTCACGATAAGGCTGTCGCGGCACTTTGACGTAGTTGGTAGCCGTAAGGTGAGCTTTTTAAGATGGTTTGAGCGAAGGCGACGCCTCGGATCTTCTCGGAGCTTTAGCAACTGTCTTGACATCACCATGGGCGGTCGTTGAACGGTTGGCTTTTTATTCCATTGTTTCTCGTCCACAGTTTGCAAGTCCTGTATCATAAAGCACGTGAGAAAAAAATGTTCCTGTCCAAGATGCGAGACGCAGATAAACCAGGCTCGTCTGACGGCGGCATTAAGGTTGGTACGGGATCTGCGACTTCTGCTCAGACCTGGCTGTGCGAACGCGAGAACGGCTTGAACCAAACATTTGTTCACCTGAAACATTTAGGCTCGGAGCCATTGCACCATATCCGGCAAGTTCCTTCGTTGAGCATTCCATTAAGTCCTTTGCTGATCCCAGATTGGAAGCGAGCCAGTGACATCTCGTGTTTTCAGTGCGTTTGACCGCGCCAGCCGTCGCCCTCGGGCATCTAACATGCGCCTGCGATCGCGCACCAGCTGACAACCCCGGCATGCGTGTCACAATGAACATCGCCGCCCACACGCTCTAAATCAAGGACGTCCCCAGTCATCAGCGTCGCCTCAGATGTCCCATGACATCACTGATCGTGAAGACAGTGGGGTTCCCACCCCGTGCCGCGCCACCCGGCACCATATCGCTCGTGCATTTCATCAGCGAACTTAACCGGGGCCGGCAGCCCCGCTTCTGACGGCCTGTCGGGCGGTGATCGTGCGCCGTCCGACCGAGCGCGCCCCGTCGGCGATGAATAAGCCGCATGAGGCGAACCTCGCGACTATGATGACTGCGGGCTGTGTTGATGCGCCGTTTGAGTTGCCTAGGCCGGAGGTATCCGATGCGCTGAACATGCAAACCATGCTGATGTCTTAAAATGTAACTTAAGACCTCAAAGTCGGATGTCGTTGGCTTCCCCTAATGACCGGAACTCGCCCTTTATTTGTTTAACATCTTCAGCTCAGTTAGGGACCAAGTGCACGCTGTTTTTAAGGGCGTTGCGCTTACCGCTGTGTAACAGGGGTAGTGAGTTTTATCCAGTGTAATAAGTGCGAAACTATGGACGGAGAGAGGCAGGGTTGAAAATTACAAAAAAGCGTAACATAATTTACCGTGACCCTGTGACGTCTTCCGCGACTCCGTCATGTCTTCCACGACTCCGTCACGTCTTCCGCGACTCCGTCACGTCTTCCGCGACTCCGTCATGTCTTCCGCGACTCTGTCACGTCTTCCGCGACTCCGTCACGTCTTCCGCGACTCCGTCATGTCTTCCGCGACTCCGTCATGTCTTCCGCGACACTGCCATGCAAACAGGTAGTCTGTAGTCCTCCGCAGCTGATCGCCCATAATGTACAGTGAAGTGCTGTCGTGCCTCTGCGTAGCTGCCTGTGACACGCCATTGCTAGCTGAGGCTGCAGAGACCGGATGGACCGCGCCGGGTGCGATCAACAAGCTGATTTTTTTGCCCGCCACGCGTCATCAGCGGCGCGTGGTGGGCGCGCAGCTGCAGCCGGGACGCCGCGCATGCAGACCTGGCCCTGCCGTCTGCGACCGGCAGGCTCACCGGCTTTTGGCGGATCTGGCGGGTGATAGCGTGAACCGGCTACGACCGCGGCCGCCCCGTGTCAGCGCCCCCAGCGGAGCCAGCCCCTTCCCTGTCCGCCGCCCAGCGTCAGCTGGCGGCGCCGCTGACGCCGGGCGGCGGCGGAGCGGGCCCGGTCAGGGGCGGCCATTGGCTGCTGCGGCGTGCCGTGACCACCGAGTCCCGAGTGCCGCCCCGTACGTTTCACGGTCTCGCAAGCACAGCCGGGGATCATGCCAGCCCGATGTTACAAATCCCGTCAACGGAGGAATGCCATTCAACAGGGCCGTCCGGAGAATGAGGCATCGATCGCTGGTGGAGCCACCTCGTGCAGAGGATGACGGTCCGGACGGATGAGGTGTCGCTGTCCCGTAGGTGATGAGCAGCAAGGTTTGATATAGTTGGGGATGCGTAGGTGCAAGAGCTAGGGACGGACTGAGCACCAATTTCGCGACGTGCCTAAATTGAGCTCCCCGTCACATTCGTGAAGAGAACAACGTTAAAACGTGTCCTCCATCTGCTCCTGGGGACCTGCTGAAACGCTCCGGAGCTGGTTGTCGGTAATTTACTTACTGCGTGGTTCATAAACGCTTCGTGCTGACGGCAGTGACGACCTCAGGGCATTATGAATGAAAAGTGAAACGTTATATGTAGCAGGTTGTGCATGTATACGCCATACAGCTGTGGGCAATCTGTATCAGTTCTTATTGCAGCGAGCATGTCCGTGCTGACTGGGAGCGCCCCTGCAGTGACGGTCCAGTCTGCCCCGTTCATCAGGTGGCCCTGAATTGTTCACATCTGCATAGACGCACCACGTGCCATTAGTTCCAATTCATTGCATTCACACAGCGTTATTCGTTCCATTGATTCTCTCTCCCCACTGATGAAGGGATGTATTGAGTGCTCCACTTTTGTATGCGTCGAGTGGAGGCTCCTAATGGAATGCCGCGCGAATGGGTCGCCTGGCAGTGGTCGAGCAGTGCCGCAGCGTTGACTTGCTACAGATTGGAATCGCCTCCATTGTGCGTCCAATGACGGCGCACCCGGGGCAAATAACCCTGTTAGAATGGGTGGAGTTTCGCATCTCTGGGATGTCTTGGCTCTCCCCAGTGAGACAAGACATCCCAGAGACCATACGGAACCAAATCATACGAAAGCGTTGTGAGGTAATACAAATGTAAACACCCCCAGTCTTGACGAAAATCGTAAGGTACTGCTGGCGCATCTTTTTCTGAAATATTTGTTATATGCTCGAGGATGGACCGGGGCTTGGCTGTTTGCTCGTGTGGCGCCGCAACTTTGGCTTGACCTCGCTCCCCTCGCTCTCTGTGACCTCCTACCTGAGTGTCTACCTCTGTCCCGGCTCTGGCTTGACCCCGGCTCCTCTCTCTCCGTGACCTCCCACCTGAGTGTCTGTCTCTGTTCCGTCCGCAGACCTGACCCCGCTCCCCTCGCTCTCTGTGACCTCCTACCTGAGTGTCTGTCTCTGTCTCGGCTCTGGCCTGACCCCCGCTTCCGTCTCTCCGTGTTCTCCTATCTGAGTATCTGTAACTGTGCCGTCCACAGGCCTGACCAGACCCTGCAGTCTGTGGTGTACAAACTGGTGCCCCGTCTCTTCAACGCCGAGATGCAGCGGCGGAGAGAGTTCTACGGGCGCCACCCGCGGAGAGGTGCGTCATGGCCGGTCCGCTCCCGCGGCCGCGCGCACAAAAGGCGCCGCGCCACCGGATATCCGGGCAAACCCCAGGCTTCGACGCCCGACTGTCGGTACAATGCTGGCCGCCAAATTATCCGCCATAGATAATGCGGTCGGGATTCGGCTGCGGCCCGGGGGAAGGCGTGAATGGAAGGCTCTTGCATTTCCTTACTGGTGACATGACAGTCTTCCCCTTCGGGCAACGGGACAGCCTATCAGAAATAATCGACAGTGTCGGGTTTCTCAACGGCGGCAGCGGGGCGGATTGCAGTGCTTTCGGCGCAGGCTGTAGACCATGTAAGCTCACTCTCTTGCAAGTGACGTCAAGTCTCACAGGGCATCACGATTGTCATGTCGCCTGGTATGTGCGTGTGTCCAAGCTGCACGGGCACAGTTGGTGTTAACGAATTTGTCGTTGGTTGATGCTATTTTGGTCAGGGTTTTATGGTAGGCTAATGTTGATCATTTTATTTCCAAAATAAACCGCAGAATTTTCTTGTCGTGACCTCATTAGTTGAGCCTCAACAGAAAAGCCCAAATAATCGTTTTTGTGTAAAGTGAATTGCCCGTGAGCGGAGTGCTTTATGCAGGATGTTCTCAAAAAACGTCACTTCTTTACTATCAGTGAAACGTCTTGAAACTGACTCGTGCAAGTGACGTTTTGTTTTGACGTTTCGGCAGATCGCAGCCTGTCGCCGGAGAGGCGTGGTGACGTCAGTTCCCAGCAGTTTGTGTGCACGCTCACCGACCCCATCAGCTTCAGCCTCGAGTACTACAGGTGCGTCCACACCAGAGCGTCATCTCCCAACCTTCTTGCCGCACGCCTCCTTGCCCATAGCTACGTCTTCCCTCGGTCCCCTGTATTTCCCGTGAATCCACCCGCTTCCGCATCCTTGATCTTCTCGTTAACAGTTCTGGTCTCGGAGCCACTTGCTCACAAATTGCGTCTAACTCCCCGACCACGAAATTACTCGTCAGCCGTCGCTCAAGCGTCAGGAGCCAGACGTCAGGAGCCAGGCGTCAGGAGCCAGGCGTCAGGAGCCAGGCGTCAGGAGCTGTGTGTCAGGAGCCAGGGGGTCAGGATCCAGGTGTCAGGAGCCAGGCTTCGTTCCCTACGGCCCTTTGGGTACGAGGGAGGGACGACCGGGTTGTGATAAGCGTAGCTCCTCCATCGCTTCCCCTTCCCCTCCCCCGGAGTTGCCCGATCGTCCGCCGGGACGTCGGCGGTGTGGACCGCACCGACCGTCGGCGGTATGGATCGGGCGCCGGCGGTGTGGACGCAGATATGGACCGGGTGCGGGAGTCGGTCACCAGCTGGTACCGCTGTCTCGGCCGGCGGGGGCACGCACCCCTGTCTCGGTCCGCCGCCGGCAGACCGAACCGACCCGTGCACGGCCGCGCCAGCTAATTATCGTGATGACGACAACATGACGCGTTCATTAGGCACCGGGAGAGGCGCGCTCAGTCCCTGGGTGGTCGCCGGGGTGTATTTCGGTCGCCGCACTGACTGCGTGTAAACCGCCCGGCCAGGGATCACGTGCCACTCCGGAACAGTCGACCAGCTGTATGCTCGACGATGTCGGCTGTAGTTTTGAACGTTTGTCAGCTGTTTGGAGCCGGCTGTAGGAGTTTGTATAACACGTAGCGTCCTCAGCTCTCCTTCAGTGGGAAGCGGGTCTGATCCAGCGCGTGGTACTCTGCGCAAGTTGGACACGTGCTGGCAAGTGTGAGGCATTAAGCGATGTCGATTTGGATGGCTAGCAGGCTGCCTACACTCAGACCGTTTTTTATTTTGAATAAAGTGACAATGTTCGTTTAATCTCCTGCCTGTCGTGCCTCTAATGAGGAGTGCGCACCTGCCCCCTCCCCCACGTGGTCCGAGGTACGCTCGTGCCCCGCGCAGCTGTGACCGGATCTGGTCACGTGACGGCGTCGACGGCGCTTCTGTGCGGGCGACATTTGTTACGAACTCAGCTAATTTAGCACTACCCATGTTTTGCCTGGTTTAAAAACAAACGGTGGGCGCAAAATGACCTCAGAAGTCGGCTTGCCCTGAAACCCCAATCATCATCACTGGCCAAACGGTCGTTTGGAAATATTGCGTATGCTTAAGTACGTGAGCATTTATCGTAAGCAAACGCTGGTAGTATATCGAGTTCGTGTGGCAGAAGTACGTACTCAAAAGTCCGTGTGCCACGGTTTATAAGCAAGTCTCCGTACGGTACAAATAACGTTTTAAAAATATTCGTATCGACAGAAGTTTGTATGGAGAAGTTCGCATGAATAAAGTACGTACTGGAATGTTTGGAAGCAATTGTACGTAGGCTAGCTGGGCAAGCTAGGCAAACTTGACGAATACAGCTTGCCCCACAAAAGCACGTTCGCAAAAGCTCATAAGCATTGATCATATAACAACAGCTTTGTACCGACAATAACTCCCATGAGGAATGTTCAGAATGTTTGGATTACCAAATGACACACCGCCAGCGCTCAGATTTCGCTGAAAGTTGTTCCGCGTGGTATGATCTTGGGCGTGCGCTCGATGGTGTAATTTCTAGCGCTATCCAGCATACAGTTTAATAGTGATAACCTCGGGCAGTGCTGGGTCGGTACAAGGTCCCGGTGAAAGCGGGTTAACAGAAGCGGAGGCAGCGTGGGCATCTTTCTCTGTGGGCTTTGGGTCACTTGATACAGGCAATCGTATACCGGGTGTTACTTGCGTCTCCGCCCATGGTGTTCTGCAGTCGAGCTGCCTCTGGCCACAGCCGCCAGCTGATGTCAGTGGCGCATTCAGAAGGGGTCGGGTAGAGTCGTCTAAGGGTGAAGGTGGGGTGATAGGGAAGAACAGCTGCCTCTGGCCACAGCCGCCAGCTGATGTCAGTGGCGCACTCGGGAGGGGTCGGGTGGAGTCGTCTAAGGGTGAGGGTGGGGTGATAGGGAAGAACACCTGCCTCTGGCCACAGCCGCCAGCTGACGTCAGTGGCGCGCTCAGAAGGGGTCGGGTGGAGTCGTCGATAGGATGAGGTTTTTTACCCGTTCCTTCCAGCTCAAGGCCATTGTGCATTGCTGCCCCGCAGCGACACTACGACTCCCGGCACCAATAATGGGAATCTGCCTTCGAACCTGCAGTGCACATGTACATGGGATATTTGATGTGCGTTTTTTGTCAAACGAGCTTCATCCATGGGAACAATTGGAAACTTACACTCTACATCTGCAAACGAATATTGGCTTGCGTGCTTTTGTCATACAAACTTTATCCACGACGAATATTTGCGTACACACATTTGCGTACGACTTTTTTTCTGCACGAACTTTTGTGCATATGATCACACTCGTTTCGAACCATTGCCGACGAACAATTTACCCTGCGAGCATTATTCTTTGCGAGCTTTTTAACCTTAATAACTTTTTGTTACAAAATTGATATTCTACGTACCTTATCGTAACGAACCTAAGGAAGTTTTGTCCTGCGAATAGCTGTCGTGCGAGCCATAACATTCCCCAGTTCAATTAAACGTTCTTTTGCCTGCAGCCTCTCTTGTTTGCACTCGGAGCGCAGATCCGAAAGAGAGAAAGAGTTGTGGGAGGGAGAGAGGGGGGGGGGGGGGGGGCAGCGACCTTGTTTGCGCGGGCAATTTTCGCGCCGATGTGTACTCTGGGAAGTCCCGGTTGGTCGGGTTGTTTGGCGAACCTCGGCTAGTATGCCATAAACAGCATGTTAGCAATGGCTCGTAAAAGGAGAAGAGGGTGACGGTGGGGACGCCGGCACGCAAAAGCGACGACGCCAACCCCACACGCATCGGTCGGTACCTCATGATGCGTCTTGATGCTGAGTTTGGCTGGAGCGAGAACTCGTGCATTGCGATAAACACCACTTTTAGGTCATTGGATGAAAATCTCCTCTGAAAGGCCATGTGCCCCGACTTAGATCAGCCTGGTTCGCGCATGTGATAAGAAGCGTCGCTAATCTGAACTAATTGGCAGGTTCGATGAATACATTCCAAGCGATCAAACCGCGTTTCATGTTGGGACTCTGCAGTTGCAATAGGTGCTGAGTTGTCCTTCGGTTGCAAACAGCACTTTGCTTTAGTGGTGTCCAAATGCTTTTTGTCGACTTAGGCACGTAAATGAATGCGTTTCAAAGAAAAACAGCAAAGCGATATAATCGCGTTACCCCGCGACCTTTCCTTGCCGGATGTCAGGGCACGCACCAGATGACCACTGGAACCCCATATTGTGTAACCGGCCAGCTGAGCCCTGGCGGAGCTCTCGTGCCGTTGGCGGGCGGCTGGGCCCGGCAGCGGCCCGCCTCGGCAGCTTCACCGCTGGCGCCGCCGGCCTCCCTCGGGCCCAGCCCTGGTGCGCCAGCCCGGCCGCAGTCGGCCATTATCCTAATCTTCCGGTGCCGGCCGGGCGGCGGCCGGCACGTTTACCGGTGCAGCTGCCGCACCTTCCCGCCTCCGCCGGCCCGCGCAGGGGGGCCGGCGCGGTCGCCGGCGCGACCGAGCAGCGCGGCCCCGTCTGCCGATGGGGCGCGCGCGCGCGGAGGGGCCCGGCCAGCGCCACCGAGCGACCGCCAGATCAGGCGTGTCGGGGCGCCAGCTCCCCGCCTGTCGCGGTGTCGGAACGCCAGATCCCCTCCCGTCACTGTGTCGAAGCGCCAGCTTCCCGCCTGTCACGGTTTTGGAGCGCCGGGTCCCTGCCTGTCACAGTGTTGGAGTGCCGTCTCCCTGCCTGACACAGTGCCAGAGCACCAGCCCCCTGCCTGTCACCGTGTCGGAGGGCCAGCCCCCGGCCTGTCACGATATGGTGGCACCGGCTCCCTGCCTGTCACGTTGTCGGGGCTCCTGCTTTCCGTCTGTCACGGTATCGGGACGCCGGCTCTCTGCCTTCCACGTTGTCGGGGCTCCTGCTTTCCGTCTGTCACGGTATCGGGACGCCGGCTCTCTGCCTTCCACGGTGTTGGGCGTCAGCTCCCTGCCTGTCACCATGTCGGGGCGCCGGCTCCCCGCCTGTCACGGTGTCGGAGCGCCGACTCCCTGCCTGTCATGACATCGGGACCCTGCTCCCCGCCTGCCGCTGGTGTCGAGGCGTCAGCTCCCTGCCTGTCGTTGTCTCGGGACCCTGCTCCCCCCTCCCCCTATTGTCGTGCCAGGGCTCCAGTTCCCGCCTGTCGGATTTGGCTCATGTGCCCGTGCCACATAAGACTGGCCCTTGTTGCCAACCCGCGGTCTGCTAAGGAGAACGTACTCTTTCGCTCCCCCCACAGCAGTTTCCGTGGTGAGCGTACTCACTCTTGTTCCCAAACGATTGGGGCGGGGAAGGAGGGGGTCATGCTCTGCCAGCATGTAATTCATAAGCATCCTGTCTGTAGCGCAGCGGCGCACAGTCAGTGATGGATCCAGAATTTGGCCCAAGTCGGGCTACGTTCTGGGCTGTTGGGGATAGAGGCTCATTTCAAAAGAGGCTACTGCGCAGTTTTTTTTGCTATGCTTACAATTTTAATAAAAATTCCTCATATGCTAGGAACTAGAAACATTTTTGTGAACCACATTTTGATGCGGAGGATTTCGCCTGAAATGCATGAGATGAGACTGATTTCCCACGAAAGTCTGGGATCCATCAAACAGACTTTAAAGAGTGATGTCACAAACAAAAGACGGCAGGCTAGATATCTTTTGAAGACAATGTTGTCAAAAACCACCCGTAAAGCGATCAGGAGCGCTACACTTAGGGCGGACTTAAACATTTTGCTTTTGCTTCAAGTACACCAAATATTCAAGCCTTCTTTACCCTTTTTCGTTTTCGTGTTGCGTTTGTGGTGTGTTCTAAACCACGTATGCAAGCTATATATGAGCCACTGGTTGGTGCAAAGCCTTAAAAGTGGAGGCACGGCAAAATGGTATAAGCAGAGAATTGCAACGCGCATGGCAGCATTCGCCGCTCAGTCCTCTGTTATGATGCGTATGTTCGCATCTGGGAATGCTCCAAACCCACAGGGAATGCAGCATAAACGAGTCGATTTGAAAAAAGTTGAATGAAAAAAAGAAAAAAAGTTACCTTGGCATTCATGACGTCATAGCTACGCCATTCAAATGCTGTCATTCCATAAGCTATGCGCTGATCTAGGCCAATACAGTTATAATTGTCGAGGCGTTCATATCTGGCATTCATGAGCGCAATTCCCTGACATAACGGCCGTCAACTGGCTCTCAATCAATGTTATGGAAGGCGCGAGGACGTCATCAAACCATGACGCATCTAGTAGCATATTTGCTAAACGGAAAATTGTACTGTCAGGAGCAGACTTTTCCACTTAAAAACATATCAATAGTTGCAGGTGAGCTTGTTTCATCATATCTGCTGCGTTCTTCAATACTTTCAAATGTGAAACATTCGGTTCAAGAGCACGATGTTGATTAGATTGTTCCCTGATCCCGATTCGTTCCGCCCGTTAGTCCGGAACGTAAGTCCTGGACTGTACACATTCTTCAAATGTGCTGGTTGCGATCGTCGGGACTGTTCATGAATCGAGCTCGAGCGTCATCCATTTTGCATGAAGTGTGCTTTGCGCCGGCCCACTTCGCCTGTGTGTTGCACATATGCAGGATTCACATATGCAAGATGCACATATGCGGCTGTCTAGGCCAGGATTAGCCGAGGCCTGAACAACAGCAGCTACACGTTAAATGAGCATCGACCATTTGCTTCGGACCTTCGGACGGATGATTGCATATCCAGCTTGTGGGAGCGGCCATTTTGAGGTGAAATTAGTCATCAGCTGTAACCCTGTTGTGATCAGATGATGATACTTTAAGAAGAAACGAACGTCGAGCTCAAAGCGCGCACTCCTTTCCGCATTCGTTCACATATGTCAAGCCCGGGTAGGTCAGTGCCCAACCAACAAAACTAGTTACCTATGCAGTTTTTTCTGGATCCCACCTCTTGTTCGTCGCGTGCGCTGAAGTACACCTCCGTGTGGCAGGCTGAGGGACGATTCCGCTTAAGTTATCGGAGTTAAGTATAGCTGGTTACTGAGGGGAGCGTGCCCTGGCCCGCTCCTGGCGACCCGTCCCTGGCATCACGCGACTGCGAGGCACCGCGGCTGAGAACTGTCCCGGCCATGACACGCCAGAACGGAGTCAGGAAGATGCGTGGGGGGAGGAGAACAGGGAGGAATAGCGAAACCCAGCCCCAAAGTACGCCAAAGGGTAGGCTTCTTCCCCAATGTGGCCTATTTTTCTCCTAGTTGAGAGAAAAATGGACCCCCACCTGAAACTGCACCCATGCAGCTTGCCGGAACCCTGCCCACCATTAATCAACCCTCATCAATTAAGTTTCGTGGCTTTGACGCCCAATCGATGGAAAAGGTCAGCTCCAGCCAAAGCTCGTGTCCGCCCATCCACCTTTGGCCTGCCCAATGGTCCGTCTGTTGCCCAGTGGAGCGCTGCGCCATACGCCGGGGCTCGTCCGCCTCCGGGGAGCCCGTCGAGGCCATCAGTCCCGCTGACCGGCGTCGATAACGGCCGGGCCTGGGGCGAGACGTCGGCGGCGCCGGTCGCGCTGTCCGGTCGGGGGCGCCTCGCTCGTAAACGGTGGGGCGGCGGCGAACAAGGCGGCTTTGCAACAAAGAGGCGTCGTCTGGCCAGCGCCACAACAGAGATGTTTTTGCAGGCGCCGTCGCCGACCAGCCGTAAATCAATGCCCGGCAAATGCATGCCCATATTAATACGGATTATTTTGCCGAGTCAGTGGCGCTGCAGGTCGTGCGGCGCGCCGGCGTCAGCGCCCGCGCGGCGGCGCGGCTGCGGCAGCCGGCAGTGCCGCCGACAGCTGACGGCGGCGCCCCGGAGCCGCGTGATGTCGTGCCGACTCCATTATCAACATGCAGGCGAGCGGTCTGGCACAGTTTCTCCTGCAGCGAAGGTGGCCGCGGCTGCTTACGGCACGTGCCAGTCGGCTGGCGTCACCTCCCGTTGCGGGGAGGCGCCGCTCATCACGGGCGGGTAGCGTTGCAAACGTAATTGGGCGCGGTGATTGATCAGTTGTCGTGCCTTTATTGATCAGATAATTGCAGTCTTGCAGGGGAGAACGGCGAGCGTAATCATAATGACGTTTGGATAAGTACAGTGGTGGAGATTGCATGGTTACGGCCACAGGCATCACCTCGGAACCCGGAAGCCAAAGTGGGAATTTCCGAAGTGGTGATGCCGAGGTGCTGGTAACCGCAGCGGTATAACCGTACTCGCCAGGGATCTCAGGATCAGCAGTGCCGTCTTTCGTCCATGCGCGCGGCTTTCCGCAACCGGTTTGCTTGCTTGAATAATAAGGGTGGCGTTCGGCATACAGTAGTTCACCTGTCAGGTTCAGTATCACTTTTACAGCCTGTGGTGATAATGCCTTTTGCAACTTGGGCTTTAAAACGTACCGGATTCTGGGTCATACAGCGCTCATACAAGCTATGGAACCGCAACGAAATCACAAACTACAACCAATGTGAAACACTTTCATTCATGCATGTGGATGTGCAAGTCCGCGATCCGAATTTCTGTTGTGCTATCAACTCACGTGACCTGGACCATTTGTGATACATGCTCTACGGTCTTGGGAACAACCCAACCACCGTTCTATCTCCACTTCAGCCATGGTGGCGAGGAGACCGCACTGCCTCCAAAACGGTTCTTCCAAGCGCCGGCCAGCCTCAGCGTGGGTCACCTGCGGAAGCTGCTGACCATGAAGCACGGCCTGGCCACATCAGCCCAGGTGGGTGTCACCGGGGCTTGGTGCGGGGCGCGGCCTGGCCACATCAGCCCAGGTGGGTGTCACCGGGGCTTGGTGCGGGGCGCGGCCTGGCCACACTAGCCCAGGTGGGTGTCACCGGGGCTTGGTGCGGGGCACGCCTGGCCACAACTAAGCCAGGTGGGTGTCACCCGGGGCCTAGTGCGGGGCACGGCCTGCCACATCAGCCCAGGTGGGTGTCGCCGGGGCTTGGTGCGGGGCGCGGCCTGGCCACACTAGCCCAGGTGGGTGTCACCGGGGCTTGGTGCGGGGCGCGGCCTGGCCACACTAGCCCAGGTGGGTGTCACCGGGACCTGGTGCGGGGCACGGCCTGGCCACACTAGCCCAGGTGGGTGTCACCGGGGCCTAGCGCGGGGCGCGGCCTGGCCGCATCAGCCCAGGTGGGTGTCGCCGAGGCTTGGTGCGGGGCGCGGCCTGGCCGCATCAGCCCAGGTGGGTGTCGCCGGGGCCTGGTGTGAGGCACGGCCGGCCACACCAGCCCAGGTGGGTGTCACCGGGGCCTAGTGCGGGGCACGGCCTGGCCACATCAGCCCAGGTGGGTGTCGCCGGGGCTTGGTGCGGGGCACGGCCTGGCCACATCAGCCCAGGTGGGTGTCGCCGGGGCTTGGTGCGGGGCGCGGCCTGGCCGCATCAGCCCAGGTGGGTGTCGCCGGGGCGTGGTGCGGGGCGCGGCCTGGCCACATCAGCCCAGGTGGGTGTCACCGGGGCTTGGTGCGCGGCACGGCCTGGCCACATCAGCCCAGAAGGGTGTCACTGGACGCGGCCTGGCCACACCAGCCCAGGTGGGTGTCACCGAGACCTGGTGCGGGGCACGGGCTGGCCACACCAGCCCAGAGGGGTGTCACTGGGCGCGCCCTGGCCACACCAGACCAGAGGGCGTCGCTGTCCTCTCGACCGCACCGACCTAAAGGCTGTCTTGGCCTCGTCAGATCGTGCTGGTCCAGACGGGCGTTTACGCGCTTGACCCTCTTTTCGGACTGCAATTATTTTGGATTAGTGCAGGCAAATAGGCTGATTAACAATGTGTCTCAAAAAGTGGTGCGGCTGCATTTGAATACCCATTTAAAAGCGTACAGGATGTCCGTGATTCACCAATGTGTCCCGTGCGTTTGACGCCTTACCAACTGACCGACGCTTCGTCAGCTGGACATCTTATACGGCGGGGATGTTCTACGGGATGAACTCATGATCCTGGACGTGACCTGCATGTACAGCTGGGAACGGGTAAGTCACTAACGCAGAATACCGCGTACAGATCAGAATCCTCGCAGATCAGAATTCTAATCCGTCGGAATCGTAACAGCTCAGAATCCCACCAGATCAGAACTCAGTCAGGTCTTGCCTGGCAAGCTGCCAGATCAACAGTGACTGAGCCTTTGTAAAACACCGCAAATTCGAGACACAGAACGAGATAGAATGACTCTTACCGTTTGTCCTATCCTCCCCCGTTGCATTTTTCTCTGTCCTCTAAGCATGATCTACATTTAAATTGGGTTAGTTTATGCATTTCCCACTTCGGGTCTCTCTCTGACGGCCTCTCTCCCTCATCCCGCTCTCCCTCTCTCCCTCCTTTCTCCATCTTTCTCTCCCCCTCTCTTCGTCCCCCTCCCTCCCTCTTTCCCTTCCCTGTCATCGCTCCCCACCATCTCCCTCCCTCCCTCCCTCCCTTTTTCCCTTCCTCCCCTCTCCTTTTCCCCCTCCCTCCCTCCCTCCATCCTCTCTCCATGTTTTTTCTCCGTCTCTCTCCTTCCTTCCATCCACTGTGTTGTCTCCTTTCTTTGCGCGCCCATCCTGTCCCCTTCGCGTCCTTCCAACCCATCTTTCCGCTGCCTTCTCTCCTCCGATCCATCCGCCCTGTCGTCTCGTCCCCATCCCTTGCCGTGCTATTCCTCCCCTTCCGTGACGGTGTAATCTGCTCCCCATCCTCGACCGTGTCGTCTGCTCCCCATCGCTTCGCTGGCCGGAGAGCGGCCGAGGTATGCAGCAGCCGGTGCTGATAAGTGGCACGGCTGGGCCGATCGCGCCGGCCGCCGGGCCTGGAATGCCGACTTGTTTGTTTGACTTTCAGACGGGCCCGATGACGTTTTTCTACCGCTGGACGAGGAAGCGGGCCGCGCCGGCCGCTGCGCCGCCGCCGCCCAAGCGCCGGAAAAACGGGCGGCCGGAAGCGTCGGCGCGGCGTGCGGCAGAGGAGCAGGCCTCGTTGGCTGCTGTGGGGCCCACTGACTGCGGCGGCGGGCGGGCGCCGCAGACCGGTCCGGCGGAGGCGCGGCGGGACACGGAGCACGCGCCCCGCGCCGGACGGCGGCGGCCGGGTGCCGAGAGCGGCGGCGGACCGTCTGACGGGGCTGTCTGCGGCCCCGGCGGCGGCCATGGCGCCTCTGTCGCTGCAGGCTGGCGACTCGGAAGTCACAGAGACCGCTGCAACGCCAGCAGACAGCTTGGAACGGGCCGGCAAAGGTTCAGCTGTTGGACAGAATGGTGACGGTGCGAGCGGCTCTGCCTCAGAAGACGGCGGCAATCAGCCTCTCCGTTAGACCGGATGTGGACTGCGACGAGCGCTGCGCGGACACCGGCATCCGCATCCCCCCACATCACAGGACTGTCGCTTAGCTTCATCGCCAGGCGCAGTGTGGGCCCGAGGGACAGCGCTTCGAGGACCCCGGCTGTGTCGCTGAGCGGTACTGGCAAGCACGCTGTTAACTGTGACGCCTCCGATGAACAGGCGGCAGGCTCCTGGAACAGTGCAGACGTGCACTTGCATGATACCGTGTCTGTAACGAAGCGCGCATGTGCGCTTGCCTAGTGTGACGTCCTGGTGCGGCCACGTCCTGTGACGTGTTGGAGGGGGGTGATGCGTCACCGGTCAGTCCGTCCGACTCCAGAGGCGGTCTGAGGCGGCACCGATCTGTCCGTCCGACCCCCAGAGGCAGGTCTGAGGCGGCACCGATCTGTCCTTCCGACTCCAGAGGCAGGTCCTAGGCGGCACCGATCTGTCCGTCCGACTCCAGAGGCAGGTCTGAGGGCGGCACCAGTTTGTCCGTCCGAATCCAGAGGCAGGTCTGAGGCGGCACCAGTTGTGCCATCCGACTCCAGAGGCAGGTCTGAGGCGGCACCGGTCTGTCCGTCCGACTCCAGAGGCAGGTCTGAGCGGCACCGGTCTGTCCGTCCGACTCCAGAGGCAGGTCTGAGGCGGCACCGGTCAGTCCGTCCGACTCCAGAGGCAGGTCTGAGGCGGCACCGGTCAGCCCGTCCGACTCCAGAGGCAGGTCTGAGGCGGCACCGGTCAGTCCGTCCGACTCCAGAGGCAGGTCTGATGCGGCACCGGTCTGTCCGTCCGACTCCAGAGGCAGGTCTGAGGCGGCACCGGTCTGTCCGTCCGACTCCAGAGGCAGGTCTGATGCGGCACCGGTCTGTCCGTCCGACTCCAGAGGCAGGTCTGAGGCGGCACCGGTCTGTCCGTCCGACTCCAGAGGCAGGTCTGAGGCGGCACCCGTGGAGGCCGATGACGTGATGAAGATGCGCGGTGCAAAGTCTGGGATCGAGGCGACAGCCAATGGCGAGAAGCCCCACATTCCGTTTAACGGAGAGGTCACTACACAGGGGGATGCCATGGCCGGCAGCGGGAGAGCAGCAAATGGTGGGGACCGCCGGGCTTTGCTGAAGACGAGTGGAGTGAGGCAGGGTGGAAGAAGACCCGAGATCGGCACGAACAACAGCGGCCAAAATGCCCATGCGTTGATGAAAAGAGGTGGTACCAAATTAGGTGGTGCGAAGAACAGGAGGAGGAAAAACGGCACCGGCGAGCAATCCCGTGTTTCGGTGAATCAAAAAGGCACAAAGTCTGGCGATGTCCTCAATGGCAGTCGGACCACAACGTCGTCCGAAGGTCTCGCCGAGAGATTCAGACACGTGTTCAGCAGTGGTGAGCCGGGGCAGTGCAGTCCAATGCCGAAGGAGCCAAGCGCGGGACAGGATGGGACACTGAGCACCACATGCGCGGTAAGCTCCAGTGCTGCGCCGAACCAGTGTGCTTCGGGGCCTCTGGCGACCTCGAACGGAGGTACTCCAAGCGCACCTGCCTCTTCCTGTGGAGCGGCGGCCTGCTCTCCTTTAGTGCCCGCGGCAGCCGTCTCGAACCCACCGGTTTCGTTGAGCGAAGGAAGTCCCCACGTCTTGGCCGGTACCAATGGAGACGTCGTTGTGTCCAACGGTGGTGTTTCAAGTGCTCCATCACCTGTCAATTCCATCGTTCCCAGTCCACGGACTGCGACAGATGGGTCCACACCAAGCACGTCCAAGGCGAGGAGTGGGGTTGTTACCAGCTCCGGCTCAACTACGGGGTCTGCTCCTGGGAGGAAGGTGAAGCAGGAGGTGGGAAA